GGGGACATCTTTCGCCACTGGTCGCGGTGTAACTGGGGGAACTGGCGAGTATCTGTGATGGGCACGGGAGCACGCTCTCATACAGCCAAGGAGACTGTTCGCTATCCTTCGAATGAGCCTCGCCTCTTGACCGGTCGCCAAAGGATCCGCAATACGAGTGAGGTCGTGTATACGCTCGATGCCATCAACCTAAATCGCAAAAAATAAAAACGTTAGCCATTTAAGTAGTAATGCACCGCATGACTAAATATATTGATGCTCAAAGTAAATAAATAAATAAATATGACTGAATTACTTACCAAAGCTCCGTCCGCCGCACCTTCGAGGGTCATGTAGCGTACAGATTGTCTTTGCTATGTTTCCATGTACGGGTTATGGTAGCCCATCCTCCCCACAGCTGATGTCGTCACAATATCCTGATCTTGCCTATTATTCTACAGAGCGATCAATTCTTCAAACTCCTTGGGCCAATTAGTAGATCCTTGTCGACCATCTTTCCCGTGGTACCCCCTCTGACTCGCCGGGACTTCCAATGGTAGGCATTGCTCACGTCCGAATTGTCGTAGACATTGATCCGACAAGTGCCACTCCACTATATGGAGGCAGATTAGTGGCACTCGGGTGCACCATTGAACGGGATGCAACGGGAACTTCTGGAAGTGAAGCGCGACGATGGATTCTGGATACGGATCGAACTTAAGCTACGAAGGTGCAGAAAAAATGGACCATCAAGAAACATAATAAAGCAAGTTGTAAATAGAGCAAGAAGTAATAGTGTATTATGATGGTTACCTCTGCTTCCCAAAGGTGATCCAGCCTCCTACGATACTCCTCCAGCTTATGCGCTCCTAGGTTGTCGCATGTTGTTTCACCAAGCCACCTATTAATATGGAAAATTACACAATCTTAATACATACTAAAAACTTCGTTATAAAATACTGAATTAGTAAAAAAAAAAGGTGAGAACTATGAGTGGGATAGAAAATATATACCTACAACTAGGGGTGGCTATACGGTCCGGTCCGGTTAAATTGGCCCAAATTGATCCCGTCCAGTCCGGTCTTTTTGAAAATATAAGGACCGAAGATTGGATTGGATACAGTCCGGTCTTGATTCGGTCCGGTTTTGATCCGGTCCGGTCCCAATTCGGTCTTGATTTTACATTGAGATTGTGGGATTTGAGTGGCCTAAGGCCTTAAAGGGTGAGGAGTTGGTTAAGTTTTGTACTAAGTGCAAAAGTTTATGATCGTTTATGCAAATTACCCTTAAGTTTTGGGTGTTGAGCTATCTTATCCGGTCTTTATCCGGTTTTTTACCTCAAATCTAAGCCCAAAGATTGGATTGGATTGTTTACTATCTGGTCCTGGTCCGGTCTCGGTCCGGGTTATACGGTCCGGTTTCCAGTTTTTAATCCGGTCCCGGTCCAAATAGCCACCCCTACCTACAACCATAAGCTTCATGTCGTAGGGGATGGTCGGGTCCCCATTCCTTGTCGGGGTCTACCTTTGGCGCAATCCATGGCAAATGCTCCAAAGCCCAAAATTGGACGATGAACATGGCCCCATCAATCTCCTTCACCGCTCTCGAACCAGCGTTACAAAGGGAGCGGTAGAGATGAGCTAGGCAAGCAGATGCCCAGCTCAGGTTTCCCATATCATCCCAATCTCCAAATATGATCTTCAACCATGAATTGCTGATTAAATTGTTGTATTTTTTGGGGAAGAAAACTCCTCTGATCATGCCGAGGATGTAGATACGTGCATAAATGTCTTTATCATGCTCCAAACTTTCCTCCGTGAGGGGAATGCCTCCGACCTCAGGTTTGTGCTTACGCTTGATCTCCGTTGTCAACCAAGTGATGGATACTTGGCCCTTGGACAATGGTGGATTACCATCCGCATCATGAACTCCCTTTTCTGGCGGACACAACCCGGTGACGGTCCATATAAAATGCTGCCAACCACTCATATTGGCAACAACTTTAGCTGGTGGTGCAGAGTCCACACAAATAACATCGCCATCGATGGGAAAATCGGTTAGGATGGCGATGTCCTTAAGTGTGATGGTGCACTTGCCTTCACGAAAATTGAAGCAATGTGTCTCCTTTCTCCATCTCTCTACCAATGCTGTGATGAGTTGGCGGTCAATCTTTATTCCATTAAAGTACCTAATCGGATCCAATCTTGCCCATTTTAGAAAGGGCAAGATGACGTCGTTCCATTCAAGCACATTCGTCGTACCCCTATAGCGGACTATATGGTATGCATCCTAGAGAAGAATTTAATTTTCACTATAAGTTGATGATTTACACATATATAAATCTATCATAACAAACAATATAAATTAATTAAATCAAGGTTGTTTCCTAGAAATATACATTATCTAATAAACATTGATATTAAACTAACTAAAATGAATATCATTTTTGAAATTTAAGTAAAATTATTTTTGTACACATACACATACACATAAAATCAAATCTATTATTTTGTACTTCGTATTGATTGTTTTCAATAATTTAAAGCAATACAAGTACACTCGTAAGACTCTTAGAAGAGGTATACATCTCCTTACAAACACAGTCTGTTTGACAGAAAAAGGGGGATCCGAGGATCGCTTAGAACCCGATTTCCCAGGTCATGGGAGGATCATGATGATCGCTTAAGACCCCATTTTCTTATACATGCATTTCTTTATAAAGAGTCAAAATAAGTGTTGTATTGTATTATAGATTTAAATTATTGAAAATAATCAATACGATTAACAATTAAGTAATTTATTGTACGAACAAAATAAATTATTCAAAACGTCTCTTGAACGATGATTGTGACTATCGTATAAAATAGTCGAATCAATCGGTCCTTGATCAACATAATATCATTGATTGTATATATCAACATCCGACCCAACCTACGATAGCATAACAACAACATAAATCAATTAGAATATAAATTAAATAAACCATATTAACAACAACAAAAATTGGGTAAAATGAGTACGTATCGCTTGATAATCATCATAGTAAATATCCTCTTCTTGGAGAAAATCGGCCATTTTTTCAGGATCCGGACAGAGATTCGACGGTTTTTTAGTGAAAACCAAAGAAAAGTTTTTTGAAGGCAGATCAGACTTAGCCGCAACCAACAAAACAACTACTTCCAAGGTTTTTGGGTGGGGAGGGGAATGGGTAGAGTGAGAAATTTAGAGAGAGAGAGAGAGAGAGAGAGAGAGAGGAGAATGAGGGTTTGGTGTGCAGAAAATGAGAGGAAGGGGTGGGTTTATATAGGGAAGGAACCGTGTGCTGGAGGGGCTGTTTGGTTTTTTTACCCCACCAAAAACCGCGCCTCCAGCACACGGTTTAAGTTTCCCAACGCGCAAACCGCGCTTCAGGATAACGGTTTCCCGTGGGTGACGCCTGATCGCCGCTGGCAGGCGGTTAGGCCGTCAGATTGCCTGCCCATCGTGCGGTTTCATGGACCGCCACGTGGAGATGCATTTTGTCAGCTGCCCAATGGCAAACCACCCCCTGCCCGCGCGGTTTAAATGAGAACCACACCTTCGAGGCGCGGTTTATGGGGGATGGTGGTAGATTTGGAAATTATTGGGAATGGGTGGTATTTTTGTAATTTTTTTTTTAAACAGTGGTAGTTTTGGATTTTTTCCTGAAATAAGGTTCCAAGTAAGTCTTATTTTCCATTCAACTACAACAACCAATTTGATCGCCTAACCACATTCCCACAGACAACCATGAAAGGCTTACATTCATTAGCAAGGGAAGTGATAAGTTGACTAGGAAAAAGTTCACGAATGCATTCAAAGCAAATAAAAACTGCAAATTGTCTTGAGTTCGAACTAGGAAATGAGAATATAGGAGATGTCCCTGTGGTGCCAAGTAGTGAAGGCCAGTCTAGTCATCCTCTGACTCCGCCTCGTCTTCCTCCTTAGGCATGGTGTAGGCTGCTGGAGCGGGGTGCGCTCAAACTGGTGTCTGACTGCAGTACGATCGAAGTTGCTCCTCCCCGTCATAGTGTGAGTGCAGTCAATCAGACGATTCCTCGTCTTGGCCTCTTGCCTCTGGTTCCTTAGTACGGTATCCAATCGAGCTCCAATGACTAACTCGTCGAAAGAGGAAGAGGATGGTTCTCTGCTCAACTGGCTCTAGTGGAAGCTCTAGCGTGTAGATGGAGCTGAAGAAGAATTCTAGGATCTTTGCCTATGGCATCCTAGGAGAGAACCTCAGCTCCATTTAGAGTCATAGTGTTATTTGTTGGGAACTTAACACCTTGGACTCCCCAAACAACCTTCTCATTCTGCTCCAAGGTATTCAAGTAGGTCTTCAAGTTGTCAAACCATACCAGAATAGTGAAGGTGTCAAAAAGGACTCTTGGCGGCAGCCAAGTTAACAACGAGGTATCTAGCTATCCTGGTGATATATGCCCTTTCATGCAAAGCCATCAATCGCTGGCTTGAGTCATGCCAGCAAAGAGTCTGCAGGATGGATCGCCCGAGGTGGAGCTACTGTCCCTCTTGCATCCTCCAAATGAGGAGGACATCTCTGGCAGTGAGATTTCCCTTTCTCCCGTACTTTCCTCCGAATGATCGATAAATGACATGGTGGATCAGTCAGAACTCGGGTCGTAGCTCACTCCCCTTGGATAGCTTCACATCCCAAGGTGTATTGTGTCAGTGTAGTAGCCTCATCTCCCTGTCGTAGAAGTACAAAGGGAAAGAGAGCTCATTCTTTGGAATCAGCGAGACAAAGTTGATCGAATCCTGAATGAACTTTGGAGGGTAGATGTTGAGGGCCAGAGTGAACTCTCACAATGTCATCTCGTGCTCCAAACCTCACAAGGTGAATTAAATCTGGGGGGCTATCAGCAATAGCAGAACCTTAGTTCTTCTTCACCTTCAATGTACTCAGAAACTCGAGGGTGATGACCTAGTAGATCCTCTCTTGGATCTCCAAAACTCTACACCATACTGGATTTGATATCCTCAACATGATCAGCTCAACCAGTCCCAATTGGGCGAAAAAGAAACCAGTTGAGGCACTCGTTCTCCCTGGTCTCTTTGTTCTGCAGGAAACTAAGTCCCTCCTGGTAGAGGAATGGAATGGCCTCCAGGAACGTGTGCTCAATGTGGGCCACCATTGCCTTAGGAGCTCTCCTCCTATTGCTTTAGCGTTGTTGCTCAACCTCCTCAGTCTCGGACTAAGATTCCTTATAAGGTCGTTCCTCCTGAAAAACATGAGGCTCTTCCAACCTCCCAGTTGGTCTAGCAACCTCCTCCCATACCTCTCTACGTCATTTCCTCCTAAAGTATTCAAGTATACTAGAGGAAGTAGATGCCTTCTCGGGATAACATCGCCACCTAGACTTTACTTTCCATTGCATTGTTTACTTCTTTGTTTGCACTAGTAGAATAGAATTTCATTTAGGGCCCATCAAACAGAAGCATGAGCTGACTAAGTTGCTCATTGTGATGTGATTTGGGTTCTTATCCACGCTCCTACTCAAGAACGCATGTATGTCGGGATGAGAATACTGTAATATTTGAAGACTTCATTTGGTCAAGGTCTCTAGTTTTACTTGTGTTTCTTCTCCTCCTCATGTAACCCTAGGTTAAGAACAACCAAGCCTATAAAGAGGATGTAGGTTGTTTGGACAAGGTAACAAAGTAAGCTGGAGAGGGGGACCTCTCCCGTAGACTAGTCTCGATCATTCAATCAATATCGAGGATACCGCGTAAAATTCGTGTCTCTTTCTTTATGTGGTGTCAATTTTAGTATGCTTAGAACCACGTGTAGGATCCAATTTTTCAGTTCTCATTCGCTTACTTGTGGGAGTAGGAAAGGAATTGAAAACTAATGGGATTTTTCCAGAAATAGCACCTTTTAAAAAAATACAAAAATAGCATCCAGCCGAAAATATTTACAAAAATAACACCCTTTATTATGGACCGCACCTCCAAGATGCGTTTTATATGTAAACCGCACCTTGAGGGTGCGTTTCACATATAAACTGCATCTCTAAGGTGCGGTTTATTATCATGGGCCAAAACCGCATCTTGGCCAAACGGTTTCAGGTCTGACCTACAAAAACCGCTTGGCCGAGTTGCGGTTTTGGGCTGACCTAGCAAAACCGCACCTTGGAGATGCGGTTTGTTTAACAAACCGCATCTCCAAGGTGAGGTTTTGCCACACAAACCGCACGCCCAAGTGCGGTTTGTCTGTCAATTATTTTTCGACACCAGACAAGCAGCCATGCATATTCACAGACATGGGGCTGCATGGCAAATGAAAACGCACCTCTAAGGTGCGGTTTTCATTGATGATTTTGCCTATAAAAGGCAGCCAGGAAATCTTCTCTTCACACCTCTCTTTCTCCCTTTTCAATTTTCTATTGTAGCTCCAGATTTCTCTAGTGTTTTTGCGGTTAACGTTAACTCGTAAGTTTTTTTTGTATTACTTTTTATTGTGAATTGTGATTTTTATGATATTAGTTGAACTATTGTTTTTTTTTTTTTTTTTTTTGCAGATGGCATTCCAAAAGTTCACGCTTGGGTTACGGTGGAATGGTTACACGGAAGAGAGTGGAAAGGAGGTCACCTACGTCGGTGGCAATTTTCAGAAAATAAAGGTCGCTACCAGACCAATGCTTGAAGACCTCGATTAAATGTGTACTAACGTTACTTGCATGGAATGCACGAGAAGAGTTGATCGTATGGTGTACCGATATCCAAACAGAGAAGGCGGGTCGTTGTGGCACGAGGAATATCTCATACCCACTCAGGATGAGGTAGATGCCATGCTTGAATTCTTGAGGTCCAACAAACTTTCCAAAGCCGAGATGTTCGTTTACACCGAGCCGGTCGTAGGTGTTGGAGGTTATTCTGGAGACGGTCAAACATATGGTATCCATGGTGGAGGTGAATTATATGGAGATCATCCCTACCAAAGTTACCATGATCCTCATTCCTATTTTCAGTACCAAGAGCAAGGTGAAGGTCATCATCAATCTTACCCGTCATATGAAGAATAAGTTCAACCGGAACATGCCAACCAACCCAAGTACAACTTCCAATCAGGCAGTGGTAGTTTTCACAACTACCATTATGGAGCTGATGAAGGTGCCTTTCATGAGCTGTATCAGATGGAAGATGCCCTGCCAGCACTAGTCAGTGACCCCTCCGATGAAGAAGGAGAGAACAATGTCAGTGCAGACAGCTCCGACCCTCTTGAAGTTGTTGATGATTCAGGACCAGAGTCAGACTCAGATAATGATGATGAGGTGGCTCATGACCGTGTACTAGAGAATAACAACAAGGTTAGTACATATATTAATTAAAAAGCTTATAACAAAAACAAAAATTGACCAAAATAATGATTACGTACCGCTTGACATTCATCATAATAAACTCCCTCTTCTTGGAACCACTCGTCCATTTTCTTGCGAAAGTCGGAAGAGATTCGACGTCGGACAGAAATTCGGCGGGCGGGTTTTGAGGGAAAAACCAAAGAAATGTTTTCTTATGACAGATCGGACTTAGCCGCAACCAACAGACCACTATTTCCTAGGCTTTTGGGAGGGGAGGGGAGGGGAGGGGTTAGAGAGCTAATTCTAGAGAGAGAGAGAGAGAGAGTGGAGAATGGTTGTGGTGTGAAAAAATGAGAGGAGGGAGGGAGAATTTATACCCATCAGACCACACCCTCCAGGGGCGGTGTGGTAATTTTTCCCCAGTCAAAACCGCACCTTCCCGGCGCGGTTTACGCTCCCCGAGGGTTGACCGCTCCTTGGCGCTGCGGTCTTCGATCCTTGGCAAGGATCACTGACGTGGCGTGCGTTCTGCCCGCTAGATCGCCACCTGATCCTACGGTCTCCAAGGCAGCTGCCCACCAAACACAGACCACACCTTGGAGGTGCGGTTCCCAGTCTGACGTGGCGCAAAACGCACCTCCAAGGTGCGGTTTATACATAAAACGCACCTGGAGGGTGCGGTTTACTTATAAAACGCACATTCGAGGTGCGGTCTATTAAAAATTGTGCTATTAGTGTAAATTTTTTTCGGCTGGGTGCTAGTTTTGTAATTTTTTTTAAAGGTGTTATTATTGAGAAAATCCCAAAATTAATTACTTCTTGTTTCTCTCCCCGCCAAAAACGAACCAGGCCCAGCCCAGACCCTGTGCTGGTCTGACCCACAGCACAGGGCCTCAATATCTTGGGGCCTCAGTCTGGAGGCGAAGCTAGAGCCAACCTGGGCCTTATAGGCGGGGCGGAGTTGCGAGCCCAACATAAGCCCTCCCAGAGGAGAGGCCCGTAGTTGCGAGCCCAACATAAGCCCTCCCAGGGGCAAGGCGGATCCAGAGGCAAGTCATCAACCCATCACGAAAACAATATTTACAAGACCAAGGAGAACCAACAGAGACAGGAATCGAACCTTGAACCTCATTTTCATTAAAAAGGAGTTCGAACCACTGAGCTGGAACTCACTTTATGAATTTATAATAACAACTAAAGTATTTAAGAGCTCTCTTATCCTCTTCCCCAAAATTTCTCAATTTCCTAATACCATCCAACGCCTAAATATTAATTATTCACACCAAATTCTAATTAACTCCTAATCAATGTCTATCCCTACTATCCAGACTCCTAATCAACTTGTTTTAAGTTATAATAAATTTTTTTCTTTTGCAGGGAACTTAATATTGATTGAAAATTTGGAATCATTAATATTTAGTTATAATTTTCAATTATGTGAATCCAAAATTTTGAAAAAGGTAGTTCTAAGCGTAAAAGAAAACAGAAAAATTGAGGAGCCTGAATACTACTAGCCGATCTTGATGGCGATTCAAAAATTAAAAGTGAAGCTCAATCTTTGACACAAAATGAACTTCGATGGTGTTGAGTTTATTGTTTCATTAGTTATTTCGTATGAAATATTGCACTCAACAAATTCGGTTAGTAAATATTTACAATCCAAAGATATGCTTATTGATAATGTTGTTTTAGAAATAGATAGATTGATTTCTTTTTTCAAAAGATATAGAGAAGATGGACGGGCTAATAGAGGATTACATTTTAAAAAAAATACTATATGATTGTTACTTTTGAACAATGATAGATAATATTCTTATTTTTGTAATCATTTTCTGAATTTATGTAATTTTATTATTAGTATTTAATAATTATTATTTTTAATAAATTTAGTGAACAAATTTTGGGCCACATTTTAAATTGTCGAACAGGACCTCTGAATATCATGGGACGGCCCTGAAACGAACCAGTACTGGGTCCTGCGATGCCCACTTTCTCTGCCAGAAGTCCAACTGGAGTCATCCACCTTACCTCTGCTATTGATGTTTTTTTTTTTTTTTTCTCCTTCTTTTATTTGATTCCCCCGACGATGACATCATGACAAGTTACAAATGTCCAAAAAAGAACAACTAAGCATAACTTATACATGTATATATGTTGTTCCAGTTGGTTGGCCCACGTAACGAACGTAGCCTCTGTTGAAATTGCAAACCTCCCCTAACTGCTACAGTTTCCTTATCGCCAAGCTGACACAATCCTTTGAGGTTGCAGATAAGAAAACGAAAACAGAAAAGGACAACAGCTTGTAAAGATAATTGGCCACTTCAAAATGCTTTGTCCTCTCGCAGAGGATGTTTTTCCGCCAATGAAAACTGGTTTATTACCCTACAGGAGCTAGCATTATATTCAGGGTGGATTGATTGATTAGGAACCGTCACATATGCTTTTTTTTGGCTCTTTGTTGTGCAGAATTCTTTAGGAACGACTTGGCGCGATTCACTCAAGATGCCCTTCGGCTGCTCCGTCATAATATTCCGTCTTAAACCTCCAATTCTGATTTTTGCCTTTTGTGATTCTTTTGTGCTGCCATTGAGTGTATATGTCATTGGCGTTTGACATAATCGATTTCATTTAACGTTTGATTCAAAGAACTGTGCTTACTAGCAAAAAATGCTACTAAAAATAACGAAATCACTACGGATTATTATAAAATCAATACAACATCTAAGCTAAATCACTACTAATTCAAACTAGTAGTAATTTTACTCTTGGTTAGGACGATGCTAACTATTGTACAATTAGCACCGTAGCCGTTCCCTACAATTTCAAGTTGCAGAGCTGTTTCATGAGGGGGGGCTAAGCAACAAGAGTTAGCATCGTCCTAACCAAGAGTAAAATTACTACTAGTTTGAATTAGTAGTGATTTAGCTTAGATGTTGTATTGATTTTATAATAATCCGTAGTGATTTCGTTATTTTTAGTAGCATTTTTTGCTAGTTATCACGGTGCTAACCCCTATAAAAATTAGCACCTAATCCCATCCCGAAATTGTACAATAACATTAAATGTATAAATTCATGTTGTACTATAAAGGAATTTGTACC